CGCTCGAAAAACTTGACAGGCCTAAAAAACGTGGCCTGTTTGGACCTCTGGTTCCGAACGTATATTTCCGTAAAAGTATTTGATTTTTTTCTGAATCCCGAATAGTTCAAAGTAAAAGTTTTTCTTTTTTCATGAATTCATATTTTTTTAATTCATATTAAAAAAAAAGACTTCTAATCCTTACTAGTGGCATTTTATAACTAATAATAGCAACAAACACTTTTATGCTATTAAATAATCTATAGATTAAAACTATAAACAAGAATAATTAATTTCAATTCAATGTAAAATATGTTTTTATTTTTTTTCGTTTTATATTAGGTGCTTATTATTGTTTAAATATGGGAATGATTGCTACATCAACATTTTTATGTACAATAGTTGTACATATTTATTTTCGAGGCGCTGGACCAATGCCAACAATTTTAAGAAGAGTTTGTTGTTTTGTTTTTTTTTCTTCCTTCTTTACAAAAGCAAAAAAAAAAATCAAATTATTTTCTTTTGTTTTGTTTTGTTTTTTATTAAAGGTTTTTCTTGAATTTCTTGCACCATTTTTTTGTATGGTACCACATACAAATACATATCAACAACATGCTGTAAATGGTTTAATGCCACCAATAAAAGCTACATGTGATGGTGATAAATTTGAAAAATTTGAATTACTTAAAGAACGTTTTAAATCATTTGGTGATAAACGTCAAATATCATCAACACATGATGATACATTAGAAGTTTTAGATATGATGAATGATCATAGTCAACAACAACAACATCATCATCATCATCATTTTCAACAAAATCAAGAACCTTCATTAACACAACAAATTCAACAACAAATATCAGCATCAATTACATTTATGACTGTTGAAACGGATTTAAAAGAAATACGAGATTTTTTACGTACAACAAGAAAACGTATGGAAGATAAAGAAGCTAAAACAAAAACAGTTAATGATTGGAAACAAGTTGCACTTGTACTTGATCGAACATTTTTTTTTATTTATTTTATAGCTATTATTGTATCTCTTGCTGTTATGTTTCCACGATAAATATTTTCAGTAAAAAGAAAAAAAACAATTTTATTATAATTAATATTATTTTTCATGTTTTATTTTGTTTTTATCTTAATCAAAATTCAAAATAAATTTAACATGTTCATCATATAATATAGAATCAAACAAGGAAGAAGAAATTGATTAGTCAAGATTAATTATTTTTATAACAATCTTAAGATAATAAGATTTCATGTGACAATCCCACTGGAAATAATTTTTTGCATGTAAGGACACTAGCGGAAAAGTTCTTAAATTAAAAGGAACAAAAAAAAAAGGTCATTAGTTCTTATAAAATGTCAAAGTTTAGTTTTTTGTATTAATCCGTTAATATCAAAATATTATTGATTAAGAAATTTTAAAATTAAAGATGACATTTTTTTCTTTCACGTAAAACATCTTGATTGATCATGTCTTGATATACATAGGATAGAAGATAATCGTTCAATAAAGATTTAAATCCTATATGATAGTCCGTGTGTATGATTGTTTGTTGAATAACTTAAGAATGTAAATAGCTAGAGACCTACGATTTTCATCAGTCGAAGGATGTCTTTTTCTTCGATATTGTATTAAGATGAAATCATGTTAAAATCAACCATTTTTACAAAATATCCAAAAAAATTTCTGTCGTTGAGATGAAATTTTTAAGAAAAAGGAAGAAATTCGTATTTTTCGAGGAAGCAAATAGAGAATTGTATTTGCTTAACCCTTAAGAGCCGAATGTCCCTTCCAACGGACATTTAAATAATTGTAATCAAAGTCTTATAAAAATGTTGTATTCAGGTGGCTGTTAGGCGTAGCAAAACATCTTTTAGGATTGATGACTTTTTTCAATAACACCTTTCTTTCCTAAAGTTGTATCTATTCGGAAATGCGATATACAATGTAGTTTATTTTACGTTACACTCTTAAGCCTATCATCAAGATATTCAATGTCAGCGTTCTAGAATCTTTTAACCGATCGACTGACAGATTTGTGCCGTGATCAATAAAAAATTCCTTCGGTGAGACATTCAGCCTCATAGAAGAATCAAAATAATGTATTTCTAACATGAAACTTGGCTCATACATAGCCCTAGTAGTGTTTAGGAAGTTTCAAAATTTTCAGGAACAACTGTTGTTTCTTTCGCGAGATACAGAATGTTGAAGCTTTTAGCAAAATTTAGCTGGTTTTTGGATTTTGAATATATTAGCAAGAAAGCATCTGTTTTAAGTGGAAATTTCGGAACATATTAAGTATTATCAAAACTATCTAAAGACAAAGTTTCAGACCGAAATTCCTATTTTTTCGAATTTTTACACGGATGGATATTCCTGCCAAAGGAGGTTGCGTAGGTCCAGAATAAGAATAAGATAATTATTTGTAACTATAGTACAAGTATACTGAGGGTTCATAATCTCTGGTTTTCTAATTAGATTCTCATTTTTATAAGCGAAAGCCATTTTGGCTCTTAAGGGTTAATATTAGAAGATGTAAATATAATCATTTAAATTATATCTAAAGTTCCGCTATCCAGATCACATATTAAAATCAAAATCTCATTGAAATAATAGATCGTTATCACACATATTTTTCAATGTTTTAAGAAAATGATTGATTTTAAAATGAATTCGTCTTGTACAATATCGAAGAAAAAGACGTCCTTCGACTGATGAAAATCGTAGGTCTCTAGCTGTTTCCATTCATGAGTTATTCAACAAACATACACACGCACAGAATTTTTCGACAGACTATAGTTATTGTTACCATCTTAGACATAGTTATCACATAAATTATGATGATGAATACTTGAAGATATTACTAAAAAAAAAAAATTTCCATAAGAACGAAACATCATCAACAATAAGTAGCATATATTTGCATTATAAAAATGTATAATTATATATGCAAGATATTGTATGCTCAATTTTAACATGCAATATATATTAACAAATATCAAAAGACTAATGAAAAATGAATATAATAACAAAAATTTTTAATTACTACTTTATTCATTGTTATTTGTATGTTCTTAAAAGTTATTTTATTAAAGTTTAATATTCGATTTTACTAAGAAAAAAAAAAGTTTTTTTTTTTTAAATAATAATGAGTAATATTTAGAATTTAATTGATTAATTTTAAATTTATTATTTCAAGATTTCGATCAATGTAAACTTACGAATGAAATCTCTTCAAATTTCTACATAGATTTTTATTTTTATGAGTATTAAACAGTAATAGAAAAAATATACCGATGAACATCATAGAAATTTCCATAATGATAAACAAGATTGATAAGAAAGGAAAAAAAAATCTTATGTAATAATACGGAGGACACAAAGGGTAAGACTCAAATGAAAGATAAAAAAAAAACGTCACAGGATATAGAATCGGTTCATTCCTTGACAGTCTTTTTAGTCATATCTTCTATTCTGAGATATTCAATATTGGAAATTCTCTTATTTATTAAAGTAAATTTTGTTCGAACGAAGTTTGAAATCGAAACGCGACTTTTCACGTGACCTAACGAAGACGCTAACTCAGTAAAAATTTCCATATCTCAAGCGAGCAGGTGATGATTTAACACCTGAAAAGATTCTCTTATTAATTTTTTACACTTTTCGACCTTTAAATTATCAAAAATATGTACTATGGTTTTATTTACTCTATTACTTCTATTTTTTTTATCAATTATGATTTCAAATCTTCAAAAAAAAAAAATTATATTCTATTGAATTTTATTAGTCAGACAAAGATAATAAAATTTGATCAATATTTTCAATTTATTTATTTCAACAGATCATGAATAAAATTATACAATACTACTTCAAAAAATAGCTGAATTATTCAATACAATTTTTTTTTTTATTTTTTATTAACAAAATATTAACAATAAATAAATAATTTTATTTAATATGTTTCTTGAAATCGTCGACATGAATAATTCATACGATCAGGTAAACAACGATCAACAGATATTAAATGATTACCTCGTCTAAATTACAAAATAAATATTTATTTATTTATTTATTTATTTTTCTATCTTACGAAAGTCCAAGAATTTTACATTCAGAATTTCGTTTAAATTCTGATTGAGCAAATAATGCCATATATGTACTTTCTTCTGTAGGCATTTTACGATATTGACGATTACCATCAGACATTCTTTCAACTAAAAATAAAAATAATTATATAATTAAAAAATTTTTTCTTTTTTTGTGTTTATGTTTACATTCAGCTAGATGAGTATTTTCAATAAATTGAAATTTAACATCAGTAGTTAGTTTCTAAAATATATTAAAATATTATAGAAAAATTCAAATAAAAATAATTTACAATAGGTTCATTAGGTGTTGAAATAACTTGAATTTCACTTTCCATATTAGCCATTTGTGAAAGCATTAAATTCCACTAATAAAAAATTTAGAAAAAAAATCTATTTTAAAGTAAAATATTTTTTTTTTTTATTCTAAACTTAAACTTATTACTAATATAAAAGCAAAATGATTTAACTATTTTTTGTAATATTACAAAATAGATTCTAAGTCAATAAAATGTTGTTTTTTTTTTATCTATGTTATAATATAAAATAAAAAAAGCATCTTACTAATTTTTTAAGATATTCATCATTTAATAAACTTTGTTGAATAACACCTGCAAATATCATACGTGAATTTTGTTGAACATAAAGTACTAATTCATCTTGTTCATATTCTGTATTTGTATCTGCTATATTTGTCCAATTAACACGTAATTCATGATGATCACTTTTATGAAAATCTGAAATATTTAATTCTGGAATACTTGTTACTGTTGTTGTTCGATCATATGATGTTCTTCGACTAAGTACTTGAAAAGATCCAGCCTGATCATCATCATCATCATCATCATCATTATTATTATTATTATCATGTGTATCAACTTGTACAATATGAATTCTATCAACAGTTTCAATTGAATTATTTATATGTTCAATTTTAACAGTTTTTTCCATGTCATTACTTATTGTTGATGAACGTGAACGTAAATTTTCTAATTTTTGTTCATCAGTTAATGATTCTTCTTGCCAAGTTGATAAAAAACAACAATTTGAATTATCATTTGAATTCTAAATTTAATAAGATAATTCATTTAAAAAAAAAAACAAAAGAATTCTAACCGGTATATTAATTTGATTAAAATTTTCATTCATAGATTCTGATGATATACTTCTTGTATCAATAGCACTAGGTGATGATAATTCATCCATTGTATCAGTTTCAAATCCTGTTTCTTCTGATGAACCAGAATGATCTGTTAATATTAATAATCCAAGACGTTTTTTATCAATAGATGATGGTGTACGATTACAACGATTTATTAATGATAATGAATTATTTGATGGTGATGATAAATTATTAAATATATTTATTGGTTGTGTTGATAATTTTGAATTTGTTATATTTGATATTTTATTATCTGTAGTCGTATTTTGAAATGATATTATATTTGTTGATTGACGAATATAGATACGAAAAAGTGATACACCATTTTTTAATTTGAATTCTGATTCCCATGGTATATGTATTAAATTTTTCTATGAAAATTCAAAAATTTTATATAGTAAAAAAAAAAAAAATAAATGAATATATTGTCATATTACTTTTCAAAAAATATATTTATATATACTTACAGGTAATTGTTTTTTTAATTGAAAAATAATTTGTAAATAATAGTTTATATCAGAATTCCATGTTGAATATAAAATTCTATAAAGTATATAAATTTAAAAAAAAAAAAATTTTTTTATTGATTTATCATATTTTATTTACTTATTATCATATCCAATAAAACCATCTTGAAGTCCATATTTTGATTTAAGATAATCTAAACAATGTTTACTCTCTAATAATATTCTTTGATTACCCTATAAATTTCAACAAGAATAATAAAAAATATATTATATTTCATATATATATATATATAAATACATTTTTCAATGGTGTATATTCAACAGTTGAAAATAAATGTAATATTGATCGACTTTGATGACAAACATAATTTACAATAGGTGTTAATGCTTGATTAAGAAATTCATGCATTTTATTATCTTTTCCATAAGTCTAAAAACAAAAAAAAAATTTTTTTTCGTTTACTTTCAAAAATTATTATTATTTAATATATCTATTTACTGATTGTACATGATTCCATGTTCCATATAACATATTAAATAAATCTAGAATATGTTTAAGATAAATTTGTGCTTCTTCTGTTGTATAACAGTCAGATGGTAGAGATAAAAACTAAAATAAACAACAAAAACATATTTACATTAAATAACATATCTAAAAAAAACAATTCTTTACACCACTATGTCGACCATAATGTTCATGTACAACAAGTGTTTTTTGAAAATATAATATTTTTGGTATAGATTGAAAAAGATCATGTTGAAAATATTGTACCATACCAACAATTTCTCCACAATCTAAAAGTTTCTAAATTTTCAAAGAAAAAAAGAAAACATTTTTGAATAAAAATTAACAAAAAAAAACCATTTACTTGTTTTCTTATTTGATCATCTCTTGGATAGAAATATAAAATAGCTTCAGGAAGAACATCATTATCATCTTGTGAACCTTTCATTAAATAAAAATCAAATATGAAGAAAAACGTATTCGACATTGTTCCTTTGGATGACATTGATATGTTGAGATTATTGATTATTGAAATCTTTATAAAAGAAAATACAAATGAAAATAACACATGTGATATATACTCTTGATACTCAGATAAAAAAAACAAGAACGAAGAAAAAAGAAATTTCATTGTGTCCTTTTTTTTTTCTATTATCTGTCTTGTGCACGACATATGACACAAATAAAACCTAGATAGTTCATGTACGAGTCAAGAACGTTGCATAATTTGTATGACAAAGCAAATTTTTATCTAATCAAAATAAATTCACTATTGATTTCTATTGAAATTAGACATTTCAATAAACTTATGAAATTGTGGTATGGTGAAAAAAAACACACAAACACACACATGAATCAAGTGCAATGAAGTAATAGACTTCACCCGTACTTTAATCACACTTCGAAGTACTTACGTCGCGCTTTTGTTTTGTCTCTGTCGTTATGATGACAACAAATACCTGTGGAGAGTTTAAGAGTAGAAAAAAAAACAAGGTGTAAAAGTCAATGACATGCAAAAAATGTGTCAATGATTTATATTGACAAGGTTTAATATTTGACAATTTATTATAAAAATTAAGAACTAAAATAATGATATTTTATGATTTTTGTTTTTATTAATAAATACATGCATGTATAATTTAAAACATTATCCTATCTTTAATTTATTTATGATCTTCGTCAACTAGAAAAATTATAATTAAGCAATATATTCTTTTGAGATTGAAATATAGAATTATCATATTAATTAATTATTTTTATTTCGAAACCAATCATAAAAATAATCTTAATAATAAAGTAATTTATTAAATATGTAATGAATCATTGATATTACAAAATCTACACATCACATCATTTATCAATATTTTTTTTTACTTTATTAATGAACAGTAATATCAAAAAGTTCATTTTTTCTTTTTGATACTTTCAATTATTTTTATTCACATTCAATAACATAAATCAATCGTTCTCATATAGAAAGACATAAAATGCTATGCATCTACATTGATCTATTCTATCTTCAATTAAGACAACAATTTAATTTAAATAAAATTATTTTATTTCTTTTTTCAATCAATCAGATTTTCAGGAAATTGTTACAATTTTTATCATTGATAATTCAAAAAATAAGTATTTGACATACAACAAACTTTGTAAAAAAATCATTCTTCAGACATAAAATGTCAAAATCTGAAAAATAGTTTATAACATTCCTATGCAATAACCTAATTAGATTATTGCTATTGAAATTTGAATTTATTATTAAACATAAAAAATAATATGCAACATTTTAGTATTTTTCAAATATTTCATCACAAATCAAGATAATACGATTGATTTGTGATGAGATATTTGCAAAATACTAAAATATTGCAATCTTTATTCTGCACCCGGAATTTGAGTAATAAAAATTTTCTACATCATCATGTATAATGAGAATTCATCTTAGAACTGGAGCAGATTTAGGTTCTGTAGACAATACAGATGGCTCAAACGTATCAATATTTCTTCCGATGGATGTATGCGACTCGATTCTATTAGTGATGTATCGAGACTGAAAATATTGTTTTGTATTTTTTTTCTAAAATAAATTCTTAGTTGTGAAAACACAGGTCTGGCAATGTTCTTGAAGAACTGGATGTTGTAGAGCAAACGTTTTTCTACAAAATGAGAGGTGGACGAGGTTCGTGCGACGTATGGTTCAATTTTTATTACAGTTTTTTGAAAAGCCCCAAAACCGAGACTCTCGGTCTCGGTTTTAGGGCTTCTGGTAGAACTGTAATAAAACTTGAACCATACGTCGCACGAACCTCGTCCACCTCTCATTTTATAGAAAAATGTTTGCTCTACAAACATGAATGTTGAGCAAAATTGTACCACATTCCTTATAATGAGAGCAACCTCGAGAAAAAAAGGGTAAAAACCGAGAAATACTCGGTACATCCCTAGTTTTATGAGACTTTAAAAATCTTTACACGTTTTTATACAACTGTAATTTTGTTGCATAAGAAAAACTTTTGCATCTACATTCTATTTTTTTTTTGGCAGCTACTCTTTACCTCTTATAACAGTTGAAAAATAGTATAAATAGCTTCAAGAAGACATATTAATGAATTACAAACAAAAACTAATTTGAATCATAATATCATTCAACAAATATTCTTTGAATATCACGAGCTCGAATACGCCATAGTAACATATGACCTTGTCAATAATCATATAAGATATGACCTAAATTACGAGTTTAATAGGTCGTTCTTCTTCTTTTTCTGACCTTCAAAAAAACTATTTATATCATCATTCAACTATTCTACAAGATAAAACATGCCCGCCGATAATAAAATAGAGTTTATCATGAATAATTCTTACTTGAATATATATATATATAAAGTACAATATGAAATTTATGATAGACGCAAAAGTTTTTTCTTATCAATGTGAATCAGAAATAATTTTAAGAAATATTTTAAAATGATACAGCACTTTTTTTTTACAACTAACATAAAGAATGTCAGTAGGATACGAGATACACTATTTTTTCTATATGTTTTTAAAAATGAACTAAAAGAATATGAATTTTTTCTTTTTTTAAATTATTTATAATTCATTTGAATTAAAAATTTCAATCTTATTTCTATATACATTATCCTTGTGTGTGTATTTATATTTTAGTTTGTATTTTTTTTTCCGTCTTTTATGATACGAAGCAAAAGAAAAAGAAAAAAAAAAAACCATAAATACGGAACATTACAAGAAATAACAAACAAATCTTTTGAGAAGAGAAAAAAAAAAAAACGAAAGAAGAAAAAAAGAAAAACAACAATAATAATATATAGGCCTAGATCTGTGTATATATATATATATTTATTAGGCTGATGAAACAAAGAAAAATAAATTCTACAAATGCAACGTTGAACAATCAAATATCCGTCTCTAGAAATACGAACGATGCAAGACGCCAAAAAAAAAAACAAACAAACCAAAAGATAAGTTTACATAAATGTTAAAGCATTGGATGTAAAATTATTCGTACTGTTATCAGTGTCAATATTTGTCGATGATGATAACATAGGTAATGATGAATCTGTTGGAAAAAAATCCGAATAAAAATTATTTTGTTGAAAATAATCATTATGCCATGATGCTAAATTTTCAAATGCAGATGATGATGGTAATGATGAAGGAGGAGGACGAGGAGGAAGAACAGTATTTGATGATTTATCACCAATTAAAAGATCTATTTCATCACTTAAATTATTCATATCATTTAATAATGATGATGTTGAAGGTGACATATGAGATGTATCTAAATAATATATTCAATTAGAAAGGGTAAATCAAAAGTTTGTAGAACGGTGTGTTAAAGGACCTTGTCGGATAATGTAATATATTCAAAAATGAAAAATCAAATATACGCACATTGACAAGATGACCGGAGATGCTACATATATGAGGTTGTAGCCCGTCAAAAACTCTGCAAAATCGTATGTGAGAAAAAATATTTTACAAATACTTTCGAGTAATCCCAAGCAGAGATGGACAAAGTCGCACCGCGCCTCTCCGCGCCACTGCTCGCGCCTAGGCGCTACGCACATCTCTCTTTCTCTTTGCTCTGCCAATCAGTTTCTCAAACTCCACCGAATACCGGAATGCTCTAAGCATGCGCTCATCGAAGCTCAGACTAGTGTAGCGTAGGCGTGAGCAACGGCGCGGGGAGGCGCGGTGGGACTTTGTCCATCTCTGATCCCAAGGACCGCAATATTTAGTAACCTATCATTAGGTGTGAGTGTAGTCGTCTATCAGTAAATTGACTCTAGTTCGCTCAAAGTCTTATGAAAACAGGATTTACTATATACCATTTGACGTGCCTCAAAAAGCTGGTATATTTGATTTTTCATTTCTGAATAGGTTATCTTATCCGACAAGGTTCTCGTTCTATGAACTTTTGGTTTGCTCTAAGTATTTATTTAAATTACTGAATAAATATTGATCTATTGGATTTGATGATGGAAGTGGTGGTACTGGTAGTAGTGGAGGAGGAGGAGGAGGAGGTATTGATGGTTGTTTTGAACCATTTTCAGATGGTGTTTGTGATTGACGAATAGCAAAAAATTTTCCATCCGGTGTTCGAATATATGAACCACGAGATGCTTTTATAAGATGAATACGTACACCAGCTGGAATAACTTCACGTTCTGAAGCATTTAATTGAACTTGTAAGGCTAAATAAGAAACAAAAAAAAAGATATTCATAAGCGCGATTGCTTTAGAAATAATACTCCCTCTCAAAAGAAAAAAAATTTCTTTTCACCAAAATGATCGAAATAATCCGTCATGTGCTCTTTCATAAATGACAAAAACTTTTATTCAGTTTTTTTTTTTTCTTCAAAAATTTTGAAGGATTTTCATTTTTCACAAAAAAAAAAAATCACGAGAGTCACTGCATTCTGAGATGCACTTTCAAACACACAAAAAAAAAAGAAATTAAATGTCTAGAATGAAGACTTACAGAGAAAACTGAGTTATGTTTGACCTATGAAAGTTTCAAGGTTGAGATTCATTTTTAATGAGAGAAGTTATTTATAGTTATATTCTTTTTATATATATATATTAAGAATCAATATAAATTCAATAGAGTTTTGAATACGAAGTAAAGATCAAACAAAATTTCGATTAATAAGAGAAAAATCTACAAAAACTCATGATAAACTACAAACGATAAGATAGATAAATGAAATATTCTCAACATATATTTTTAATAAATATTTGAAAAAAATAGTTCAATTTCATTATTAACCACTTCTGGGTTACTATATCTCATAAATCTTATCATTATATAAAACTAACGCAATTGTTTATCATATATATTTCTTTTTATAGCATATGGTTTCAAGTTACACATTATCAATATCTATAATGTTTGGACTTAAAATTTGTGTTTTATTTTTT